GAAGTTATTGAATCATAAAAATCATATATGATTGTTTATAGTTTATACCTCAAGAAATTTAATATTTTGGTACAGGTCACACTTGAGTAGGGTATGGAGAAGGGTTGAATTGGGAACAATTTTATTTATCCTTTAGCCTTTTTTTCTAAAGCAGTTGCAATTAAGATTTGGTAATGAGACTAATAATTATCTGTACCAGATAATGGGTTTTATTCCCCATCCCCTAATATTTAATAAAATAAAAATAAAATACCAGCAGCTTTTTGTCATAAAGAAACTGAGAAAACAGATATTATAGCATTTTTCTAGTCTGTATGAGGTCCTAGCCTTCTTTGATGCCAACTAAATGCCATAACAGTATATTTTCTAGTAATTTAGACATGACTTTTTCTCATGCTTTTGTTAGTTGCATCATTTCATTTTTTTCCTCGTTACTTCATTCAATGATTTCACCTTGTTGAACTACGTTCTGTACTCAGGTTGCGATAAAAAATTTCTCTACCGATTATGAGAGAACTGGTTCCACAGTATCTTTAAGAAAATGGAAAGGTAATTTTATTTTGACATGTGTTAACCTCTGGTCACAAGAAAAAATTAATTTGTTTGGACCTTTCTACGTTGTAAATTATAAAATGATATTCACACCCTATTATGTAACTATTTCTTTTTCATTGTGTTTAAGATTCCAATTTTTCAATGGTTTGTTATAAATAAAACTAACCTAGCTTCGTTATCACATAGATGGTTACATTTTACTGTGTTAGATGATTATTTATTAATCCATATCTTTTAATTGTAGGAGAGGCTGGATTATTTGGAAGATGGAAAAACTATTTTTAAATTGCGATTAAGGCTTTGCTCATCTTTTTACCCAATTAACGACCGCATACGGGATTTTTTTCTTGAACATGATGGACACACTCTCCGAGCAAGTCCTCCATGGGGTTCTGAACTTTTGGAGGTATATTGTCTGTGCTTCTTTCTTCCTTCTTTTCAGTTGTCTTGGTTAAATCTATTATTAGTATTCATGATCTCTTTAGTTTTGGTGTTTTGTAATTTTCAAGTCAACCGAAATTATTCTATGGTTGTGTTTGAATTGATTTAAACATTCCCCAAATCTAGTTTTCTTAATTGGTGATACAGCATGTCAATTTTATAAATGCAAAACACTATGTCATGAATTGGACTGTTTTCCATATGGTTAGTATTTTTCAAACCGTAATATACCTCAGTGACTAGATCTCTAGGTAGATTATACAATAAAAGTAGCATTAGGGTCTGACTTTAGTTAGGTTTTTGGAGTTCCACCATAAAAAGACACATCTAGCGACTCTGATGTTGGGTTTGAACTTGGAATTGGGCCTTTAATATATTTTAGGTAGCCATTGATTACAAGCATTGAGCCGCTAACTAATCATTCATCAATCTTGACTGGTCCAAGTCCATCAAATCGTCATGCACTGCATGTATAATAGAATTGACAAAACTTGGATTTTTTATGGGCCGTGATTTTTACTTTTAATATATATATATAAATTTAAAAATAATATATATATTTATTTAGGTTTAGAGTTTAGGTCACAAGTTAAAAATATTATTTTATCATAAATATATAAAAAATATAAAAATTGATATTAATCTTAGTATTAATTTTAAGTTGACGAATTTAATTAAACAATTAATAAAGGTCAATTTTTATTTTTTCATATAAATCAGATAATTTAATTGATATGTCTTTGTTGCTTTATTAATTTTTACATTTTTCTTTCGCTGCCTTCTTAATTTTTTATTCAATCTAGTAATTTGTATTATCATTTTATAGTCTATGATATTATTGTGTTTTATAATTATATTTTTTATAGTTTCATACTTTGATTTTTTATCTAATTAAATATATTCAAAATACTGTTAGAATACTAATAAGTTTGACCAAACCATACCAATTGAATCTAAATTGAATTAATTTAGTTATAATATAATAGTGTATTAGATTAGTTTATAACTTTTACTAAATAATTAAAGGAAAGATAGAAAAACAGGACGTCCTGTTTTTCCAAACACCCATAATAAAATTTGTTTGGTTATAAAATGTCAAAATCTGATCCAATCCATGCTGTGAACACCCCTAACCATAAGCATCCTTGTTCTTCTAGCATTCCCTAACTATTCTTTTTTTTTTTTCCCTTGGTGTCTTTGAAAAATTTCTCAAGTTTTTTAAAAAATTAATTGCTGAAAAATTGTGCGCAAGTGTTGATCCTAGCTCTAATTTGAATTAATTACCTAGTCCATGTCGGGAAATTTGGCCCATCAGTGGCCTAATTTGTATGCTGCTAATTAAGAAATCAGCTTTAATTTGAATTCAGTTGCTATTGACTAGTAAGTTAAGCGACTCAAGCCAAACCCATCTACAACTAAGAAATCAGAAGGAAATTAAAGAAAATTTAAATGACTTGAGCTAAAGGCCTATACATCAAAGAAGATATGATATATTTGCTCTGCGTGGGAGACCTGGAGAAGACTTATTCATGGCTTAAGATGTACATTTCTTAGCTTATCTTACTCTAAAGAGACAACATTTCACATGCCAAAATCCTTATTAGTCACGGCCTAAGAATTTTAGTTAATGTATCTCTCTCTTCATTTTTTTTTTCTATACATTTTATCATGAAAAATGGTCCAATGATATATATATATATCCCTTATATATATAAACTTTATATATATCACTTATATATATTTATCCCTTATGTACATAAGCTATGGCCCATTAGTACCCTATTCTCTGTACACTGTCAAGAAATTAACTCTAATTTGAATCCACTTGCTATTGACTAGCAAGTCAAGCGATTCAAGCCAAACCTATCTACATACATCTCAGAAATCAGAAGGATAAAAAACGTTTTTGGCCAATCTAGCTTGCAGCTAGTGTATATTGATTGTGAAATTAGTTGACTTCAGCTAAAGGCTTCTACATCAAAGAAGATGAGATATATCTACTCCACGTGGGAGACTTGAAGAAGACATTCATGGCCTAAGATGTACATTTCTTAGCTTATCTTACTCTAAAGAGGTAACGTTATGCAAAATCCTCATTAGTCATGACTTAAGGATTTTAGCTGATGTTTCTCACTTTCTTTTTTTTTACATTCTACCGTGCAAAATGGTCCAATGATATATATATCCCTTATGTACATAAGCTATGGCCCATTAGTGGCCTATTTTCTAAACACTGCCAAGAAATTAGCTCTAACTTGAATCCACTTGCTATTGACTAGCAAGTCAAGCGATTCAAGCCAAACCTATCTACATACATCTCAAAAACCAGGAGGATAAAGAACATTTTTGGCCAATATAGCTTGCAGCTAGTGTATATTGATTGTGAAAGGTTAAATGCTTAATTTGGTCCCTCAACTTTATGAAATGAACATTTTTAGTCCCTCAACAATTTTTTGCACTTTTTTGATCCTTCAATTATACGAAATGCACTCCGTCAGTCTTTCTGTTAATTTTGATCGTTAACTTGCTTATGTGGCATTTTTTATAATTTTTTTTATGACATGGCAAAAATAAATTGAAAACATGTTGACGTGGATTTTTTTTTCATGCCAACTCACATTATTACTATTTATCTTTTTAAAAAATAAAATAAAATAACTCGAGTTCATCTTCTTCCTTTCTCTTTTTCTTTTTTTCCCTTCCTCTTCTTTCTTCCTCTTCTTTCTTCCTCTTCTTCCTCGGGTCATTGAACCCAGCACTAGGTTTCACCGAACCCAGATCTACTGGGTTCGGTGGAACCCAGGCTGGGTTCCGTCGAACCTAGCAACTGGATTCCATCAAACCCAGAACCTAGCTCCACTTTTTCTTTTTCTTTTTTGTTTATATGATTGTTTGCCAAGAGATTATCTGAATTGCAGGCTATTGTGAGGGATTTTTGGGCAATTGTTTTTTTTTTTTTGGTTATATGATTGTTTGCCAAGAGATTATTCAAATTGCAGGGATTTTTAGGCAATTGAGTTAAGTGAATCAAGTTGGGTTTGATGGAATGTATTTGCTGGGTTCCTGTTTTGTCGAACTTCAATCTTGAAATCTTGAAAATGGAAAGAACACCGTATATGAAAAGAATAGAAACAGTAATCGATGGGGAAAGAGGCAATTCTTAGTGGTGATGTGGGATCCACTTGAATGGATTTTGTGTGTTTTCACCAGGTAGCATGTGACGTGGCAAAAATTTTATGCAAATCATCACCTTTTTAAGTTTTGCTTTCCACGTCATCAAAAAAAATATAAAAAATGCCACCTAAGCAAGGTTGACGGCTCAAACTAACAAAAGGACTAACGGAGTGCATTTCGTATAGTTGATGGATCAAAAAAGTGCAAAAAATTGTTGAGGGACCAAAAATGTGCAACTCACTAAAGTTGAGGGACCAAATTTAGCATTTAACCATTGTGAAATTAACTGGCTTCAGCTAAAGGCTTCTACATCAAAGAAGATGTGATATATCTACTTCACGTGGGAGACTCAAAGAAAACTTATTCATGGCCTAAGATGTACATTTCTTAGCTTATCTTACTTTAAAGAGGTAGCATTCTGCAAAATCCTCATAAGTCACGACTTAAGAATTTTAGTTGATGTATCTCACTCTCTTTTTTTCTACATTCTACTGTGCAAAATGGTCCAATGATATATATCCCTTATGTACATAAGCTATGGCCCATTAGTGTCCTATTTTCTAAACACTGCCAAGAAATTAGCTGTAATTTGAATCCACTTTCTATTGACTAGCAAGTCAAGCAACTCAAGTCAAACCTATCTATGTTCATCTCAAAAATCAGAAGGATATAGAACATTTTTAGCAAATCTAGCCAACCAGCCAATTTATGTTGAATGTGTAATTAATTTACTTGCGCTAAAGGCCTTTACTTCAAAGAAGATATGATATATTTACTCTGCGGGGGAGATTTGGAAAAGACTTATGGCCTAAGATGTACATTTCTTAGCTTATCTTACTCTAAAGAGGTAGCATTTCACATGCCGAAATCCTTATTAATTATGGCCTAAGAATTTTAGTTGACGTATCTTACTCTCTTTTTTTCTACATTTTACCATGAAAAGTATATATATATATATAGATATCCCTTGTGTACATAAGCTATGGCTCATTAGTAGCCTATTCTCTATACACTGTCAAGAAATTAACTCTGATTTGAATCCACTTGCTATTGACTAGCAAGTCAAGCCAAACCTATCTACATACGTCTCAAAAATCAGAAGGATACAGAACATTTTTGGCCAATCTAACTTGTAGCTAGTATATATTGAATGTCAAATTAATTGACTTGAGCTAAAGGCTTCTACATCAAAAAAGATATGATATCATATGAATATTTATATTTTAACAAAAAATTAAAATAAACAAAATGACTTTATCACCCTAACCATCACCCTCTCGATCCATCTTCTTCTCTTCTTTTTTTCTCTCCGACCTCTGGGTTCTAAGAAAGGGTGACGTCCATCTCAACTGTACCATCATTTGAAATTGCTTTGTTTCCCACTTCAGCCACTGCTTTTTCTTTATTTGCTCCGATCAATTTGGCTTACTCATCCATCAACTCCTCAATTATAGCAAACGATTTTGTTGCGAGACATTCGCTCCTTGGTTTCTATCAAGAGCCGCTGATTTCGCCAAGTTCCCTAGGATAGATTGTGGAGAAACAAAAACTTTGGTTGATTAATCTTTAAAGAATTTTATGATCTATTATTGTAAATTACATTAAATAATTTTTTAAATATTCATCTACTAACATTTGTTTTATATAAATGTATATATATTATGAAATGTAAATAAATAATCTTTTTAAATTATTAATTCTAATTTTTAAGTGAGAAAAATAATTTTTTTATATCAAAAAATAACAAAGATAATAACTTTTCATTGAGATTTAAATTATTAGTTGAAGATTTATTAATAATGTAACTATAATCTCTAATTACTTCATCTACTTTCAAAATAATAAATAAAAGAGAAGTAAAAAAATAGATTAAAAAATGACATCTTACCACCATGAAACGTTTAATTTTATGGTCTTACTTAGTGGTTTGATTAAATATACCCATAAACTTTTCTGCTCTGACAAATGAAAATCTAACTTGATTCAATCTTCAACAAAGCTAATAAAATTGAAACCATCTTAGTTGATTCCAACTTCTTCCATGAAACCTTGAATTCAATGGACTTTTTTTTTTGCTTTAATCATTTTTTTCTTATTTTCTTCTTTGCAGTTTTCTCTTATTAAGTTAATATAATTTTTTATGATAAGAATAAAAAGTATAATAATTATTCAATATTAGTAAAGAGATAAAATAAAATTAAAATTAATTAGATAATTATTAATTAAATATTGTAATTAAAAATTATTGTAAAAATAATAAATTTATTAATAAAATTAAAAAATTTTAATTTATCAACAATTTAATATAAAAAGCTACTAAAGTATCTTTTTTAATTAATAGTGGTTTAAATGCTAATTGTCATCTATTTCTCTCAAATCATAAATAAAAATTTTTACATTTCTTAGTTATATGATTAAATAAACAACATAATGATTGACAATTATTATAGTTATTTGTTGTGACGAGGTTTTCTTCTATATCTAATAATTTTATAAATAGAAATATTAAAATATTAAAAAAAATATAATTATAATTAAAAATACAAATATTCAACTCAATCCAATCTTTCGTTTCTTTTGAATATGTTGTGATTTAAATATAATTTATAAAGGCAATAGTATGTAAGTTTAGATGAATTTAAGGTTTTTTTTTAAGGGAGTTAGTTATGTTCTTTTGAGAAATAAATAAGAATTAATAATAATCAATGAAAACGGCAAAAGAATTAGTGTTCTAAATTTATTTATAGAATAAAATGAATTTGAAAATTTTTTACTAAATTATATATGTTTTTAGTTTTTAATATTTTTTTCACTATTAATATTTATGATAATATTTGGATATATGTTTACCCATTAATTATATTATTTATCGCCTCTAACTTGGTTTTGTAGAGTGCTCCAAAATGGCGGCAAAAGCCTTCAAAAAGCTCTTATCAATTTTCATATGGAAGAGTATTTATAAGATTTTAGATAGGCTTAATTTAATTTTTAGTCTATTAACTACTAC